TGTTTCTATTCATCGGTGTCTCTTTTCCTGTTATTTTCCTCTCCTGAGACAGTCGCTCACCATGTAGCGCAGGCTGTACTGCATCCTCCTGCCTCACCCTCCCAAGTGCTGGGATTATAGCTATGGTCCACATCCACCATGCCACTGCCCACTGGCTTGCCCTCCCACCCTCTTTGTGGTGCTGGGGATCAAATCCAGGACCTGTTTTACCATGGAGCCACATCTTGAACCCTCCATTTTACACTTTTCAGTGCTAGAAATTTTTATATTCCCATCAATATTCATGAAATTTGTTCAAGAACATAGTCACTTTTCTTGGAAATCTGTTTTTGTTTAGAATTAAACCCAGGACCTTCTCATGGAGCTATAACTCCATCCCTTTTCATGTTTTCTTTTGAGACAAGGTCTCACTAAGTAGCCTAGACTTGGCTCACACTTGGCATCCTCCTGCCTCATCCTCCCAGCATGCTGGGACTAGAGCAGCTTTTAATCTAGGTTTGTTATGGTTTGGATGCTACATGTTCCGCCCCAAAGGCCTCTGGATTAGAGGTTTGGTCCGGGGGGTGAGGGGGGACCTTGGAGAGGTGGTACTTGTGAGAGTCCCTAGGTCACAGGAGGTATGGCCTCAGAGGAGACTGTGCACCCCTGCGCAATGTAGCAGTTAGCAAGAAACTGTCCTAATAAATAAAGGACTGAAAATTTTAAAAAAGAACAAGAGTTGAGCTGTAGTTAAGTGCAAAGGTCCTGGGTTCAATCCTCCATACTGAAAAGGGAAGAAGGGAGGGAAGAAGAGGAAGCAGAAAGCAAAAAATAAAATGATTAAAAGAATATTATGGCTGTGTCTAGATGTCCCCTCAGAGCCTCACATGGTCACAGGTGTGGCTTTTCCGAGGTGGCTGGATCTAGGGTGTGTGGTGCTGGGATCAATGAAGTGATGCTGGGATTGATCCACTGTGTGATGCTAGGACTAAGGGTGTGAGTGCTACTCACTCTAAGGGTGGGTGGCCTGGATAAGATACAAGGCAGGAAAGAGATGTGGTCCTTGCTTGCTGCTTGCTGCTTTCACTGCCTCCTGCCTGCCATGGGCGGTTTCTCCTCTGCGATGCCCTCTGCCATCCACCCGGCCTTGGAGTCAGTTGATTATGGACTGAAACCTCTACAAATTGTGAGCTGAAATAAACCTTTCCTCTTTTAACTTTGGGTGTTAGGTATTTTGTCTCAGCGATGAGAAAAAGTAACTAAAACAAAGAATGAAAGACTCAGTCCCATTAGTAATTAGGAAATAAGTGTTTAAACCACCAATAAACTTCCATTTCTTACCCAAAAGATTGTTCAACATTAAAAGTTGGATAATACAAAATTCTAAAGAACATGTGAAGTAATGAAGACCTTTATCTCCCACTGCTAGAAGTGCAAACTGATACAATCATTTTGCAATATAATTGACAGTACCCAGAAGGAGTAAATAAGTGTTTATCCCCAAACTGAGCAACTGCAAGTCTACTCTAAAAGGCTCTTGCGCACAATGAGGAAACATACTCCGGGGTCTTACTAGGGAGCTGTGCTAGGGTTTGGGGGAAAGAAAACCCAAAAACAACACAAATGCAAGTAAGTGGTTAATTTCTTTAATAGATTTTATTCAACTATGAAAGTGAATGTAGGATCCCATATAGTAGGATGAGCTTCAAAAAGCACTGGAAAAAATAATAAAGGGACAGTCAACAGAAAAACCAAACAATATGTTATTTTAATATGTATATTAAATATTTAAATATTAAATTTAATGTTAATATATTAAATATTAATCAATATTAAATATTTAATAGAGTATTATATATACAAATATATTTTATATATTTACATATATAAATATTTATATATATTTAAAATTTGAGGTTAGTGCTTTTCCACACAAATGACAAGGGAGCATAAAAGGAAGGCGGGCCGGGCAGGGGAATCACAAGTTCCAGTTCTGCCTGGACGATTTAGTGAGGCTCTGTTTAAAATAAAATTGCAAAATGAAATACAGGTTTAGAGTTGTAGCTCCGTGCGAAGGCCTGGGTTCAGCCTATTGTGCAGAGAGGAAGAGGAGGAGAGAGACTGGAGGTTTCTCTGTTTTTCTGGTAACGGAGATTGGCCCGGGGCTTCCAGCATGGCAGGCAAGCTCTCCGCCCCAGAGCTGTGTCCTGGCTCTGGGGGTTTCCTGGGGTTATAATGTGCTAGTTCTTCAGCGTGGTGGTACGTAGATATTTTAATTACATAACTTGGGGAACACACGAGGAGGAGCCTTTCTTCCTTTTTTTTTTTTTTTTTTTTTTTTTTTTTTTTTTTTTTAGCATTTCTTTAGTCAAATGCCGAAGCAGTGCTTCTGCACCCTCCGGGCGCTCACCTGCTTTGCAATTATCAACACGCTTCCCACCCTGTCACTTTCCACACGTCCTACCCTCTGTCGATTGCAGAAGAGTTGTCACGATTGCTACCTCGATCCCTGTCCTGAGTGGCAGCTCGGCTCGGAATTCAGCAGGCTGCTTTGCAAGCTTTTTTCAGTCCGCGCTCATCAGCGTGGAGGCGCGTATTTCTAAAGCTTGTTCCCTCTTCACCGTCTGCGGTCCGGGTGCAGACCGCGTCGTCACGAGGGTTTATTCTGTGGCATCTGCTGCTGCCTCCTGGGTGTCCCCGCTGGCTGCTGTCCCGAACGACCCCTCCTGCCCCAGGTTCCCTCCCCCAGCCTCAGAGCCCCTGCCTGCTGGACCCTGGCTGCCCTGGGGACCTGGCACCTCCTGGCCTCCTCCCCGACCTTGACTGGCAGACACAGCGGGCGGAGTCCCTGTCCCTCTCTCAGAGGAGGTGCAGCCCGGGTCCCCTCCGCTTCCCCAAACTCTTCTGCAATCTCGCGACCACGTGACCACAAGCCCCACCCAAGCCAAACTGTACCCTTCCTCCCTCCCTCTAACCTCTGGGGGCCTGAGTCTCACTCCGGACTAGAGGAACTGAACGGAAGGGCCGAGAAGCTGTGACGCAAGCTCCCACTCCCAGAGACGTTTGCGCTGAGCCAGGCAGGGCGGGGCGCTACCCGGGCTCCCTGCCAGCTTTTTCCCGCCCTTCGCTCTTGGCTGAGCGCAGCCCTCCGCTTCCTCTGTGGAGAGAGCAAGACACTCCTGGGACAGGGCAGGTGCTCTGTTCTTGAAAGTTTCTGCAGTAGCCCGCACAGGTGACAGAAGGACTCCGTTAGGATCCCGACCTCCCTGGTAAGTTACCCTGCTTCTGGGGCTGACTTGGAGTTTGGGGAGAAATCTTCACCGGGAAATCCCCGGGCCAAAGGGTGGCGGCAGAGGGAACAACCTGTCCGCCGGGTCGCTGTGCTTCCTGAGGGGGCTGAGGATGCTTTCTGGGAAACTAAGAAGCACGGGGCCAAACTGAAAGGCTGCGATGCTTGGGGGTGGTTAAGGGACAGCGTGCTCTCGTTTTTTTAAAGCTGACGTCAGTAGGACCCAAACTTGTCTTTATTCAAATGACTCCTCAGATCAGTTTCTCTGCGTCTCAGCTAACAAATGTAGGTCTCCGTAACAAATCCCCGATGCTGTTCTCCTGGGCGCGTTCTTCCCAGGATGGGGTAGTGGTGGGCGCTGGTTTCCTTTTCAGGCGGGCTCACCATCTCCAGACAGACGTGGTCCACCTGGCGGAGCTAACGGCGTCAACCTCGGTGCCTGTCCCACTTCACGTGAACATCAATCAATTCACTCTTGGGGGGCTTGGGGTCCAGTTTCTTTTTCTGGAGCTTTCCGGGTGCTGCCTGGGCCCACTTTGTTCCTAGGAGTAACGAAACCTTCAAGGAGTCCTCTGGATAATCTATCGGATTTTGGACAGCTTGTCTGTTAGGCAGTCCTGCCCTTTCCTAGCAACATTGCGCTATGTCTCCGTCCTTGAGCTTTCTGTTGTACGTTTTTCAAAGAAACGATCAGAGGAGGGAGAGCAGCCACTGGCTGAGCTGAGCCTGTTTCCAGGGCTGGTCCTGAGGACTCGGCCCTTCTGGGGGCTTTGTTTTAGACTTGTGGGTCATCTGAAAGAAATGGGAGCCAGTGCTCCCCTCTGGAGCCAGCCGAGGCCCTAACAGCCAGAGTCCCCTTTCCCCAGTTGTGTAGAGCAGCAAAGAACTGAGAGAGTTGGAAGTGGAAGAGGTGGGTGCCCAGATTTCAGAGAGCAGGCCAGGCGCTGTGGGGAAGGGAAGCAGGAAGCCATTCCGGAAAGGGGTCCTTCAAACACTTAGCTGTCCTGCCCTCCCTGCCTGCCTGGTCCCAGCTAATGTGGCCGCCCTGTCCTTGGCCAGAGGAGCGGTGTCTCTCTCAGCCTAGCACTGGAAGCATCTTCCAGTAGACGCCGGCCTGCGCTGGCGCTGGATGCCAGTGATGGACACAGGACCGCTTGGTGGCGCTAGTGAGGTTACAGCTGCCCGGGAGTTTCCAAGCTGGAAAGGGGTGGAGCTGCAGGCTAGGGGTCAGGAAAGACCAGGTTTCGCTTCAGGGCCGCTCCTGCCTCACCATGTGCTGCAGGGAGTTCTGGGGAGGCCTGGATCAGCGCGATCCCCGCCTCCTGCACCCCGCCAAGCCCGAGTGGGAGCAAAGGGGGCGGGAAGACCAAGGGGACTTCGGCCTGACCCGCACCAGGCAGGGCGAACTGCAGAGCGCGACCTCCCTGGGACGAGACCACCCCTTGCCATCTGCGGCTTAGATGCAGGCCACGGTTTGACGCACTTTTTTGTTTTACCTGACTTTTTAAAATCTTTATTTTGTGAATGGGACACACGTGTGTCTCTCTGGTGCCAGAAACTGAAAGTGAAAATGAAGACCAAAAAGACTAAAACAGTGAAGTAGGAAGAAATTGTTCAAAATTATACTGAATGTGGGATGCTTCATGAATACTTGAAATGTTTTAGGCAAAAAAAAAATAAAAATTTTTAAAAAAAAAAAAAAAAAAAAAAAAAAAAAAAAAGTACAGTATTGTTAGGAAATTAGGTGAGAAATTGGCAAATGAAAATATATTGGTTTTGGAACGTGATGCACATGTGTTTATCAGTTCATCACTGTTATTCTCTAATAACTTTTGTTATGAAAATTATTCTTTCATAGAGCGGCTTTTATGTTTTCAGATATTAATACATACCCGTGGGGCAGAACGATTACACTCATTGTGGGGAGTTGGTACACACACCTAATACCTCTCTATTCTTTTCTCATCTCCTCCTCTCCTTCCATGTCTGGGTCCCCTTTCCAGTGTCACAAGATCTACCTCCCAATCCCTTTCCTTGATCTACCTTTTGTTTTGCTCCTTGATTTATTTCTACTTTGGGTTTATCATGTAAAAGAAGCCATGTGATTCTTTACCTTGCGCATCTGATCGATTTCATTTAACATTACAGCCTCAGCACATTTTTGAAATTTCTAGCTGAAAGCCCCTACACAGGGTATTTTTATCTGCATTGAAAGTCTACCTGTGCTCCACACTTTGGAGTTAGGCTATACTTCTATAAGCTATACTTTCTCCAAAAACCAAATCCAGATGTATCCACTGTCCACAGTAGGTGTGGGGATAACAATTAGACACATCATGGTGTTTCATACTAACCACCACGTAAAAGAGTGCTCTGTAGATAAAAGAGATGTCATTGCTGGACTTAGTGCACAGCACAGATACACCGTCTACTCGCTAAGCTAACGTCTCTGGGAAAAGCAAGGCCAGAGCTGAAGGGGACAGGTGAAGTGCAGGACTCCAGTTCATCTTCACCACTAACAATAGTTGTGATGATTCTGCTCTAACCTGAACCTTTTTGAAATTAGGACTTCAGTGGAATCATCTGTTTCATCTTCAAGCCACCATGAGCTATCAGAAGCGCAGGTCCCAGAAGGTCCCAGTCGACCTGAAGAACAATATGAAGATAGAGGACTACTTTCCTCAGGTAGGTCTGGAGATGCGGCGTGCAGAGCATGTGGATACCATACCGGCCGCGTATGGCCCTGGGCCGCACAGTCCTTCCTGCCAGGAAATGACCTCATCGCCGGGAATATTACCCAAGTTACCGTCTTTTGCATCCACTTCACTAGTTCTGTGTTGATGGGTGGCGGTAGGGAAGGGAGCTGTGATACAAACCAGCTGGATCAAAGTAGCTTTTCTTAAAAAGCTGTTGTAGGCTGGGGATTTAGCTTAGTGGTACCGTGCCTGCCTTGCAAGGACAAGATACTGAGTTCAATCCCCGGTACCAAAAAAAAAAAAAACTATTGTAGTGCTTCTTGAACAACAACAACAACAACAAAAAAAAAAAAATGTATAAGTGAAATGAAAAAAAAAAAAAAACTATTGTAGTGCTTCTTGAACAACAACAACAACAACAAAAAAAAAAAAATGTATCAGTGTAAACTGGAAAAGAACAGAAAGGACATTAATGTACTTTATAATGTGGAAATAGCGTATGGCTGATATTCTGGATCAAAATGCCATATATTTAAGTGACTTTATGGTTTGTGTGTTTATCTGTGCTCACCGTAACCGTGTTAGGCAGGTGCACAGCGTTTATCTCCTACAAACACAGTCAGTGCTGAGTCCTGCAGTGAGATGTGGGAGTGACTTCCGGGCAGGAGCTCTGGACCGTTTCCTGTCTCAGGGCTCTGCGGCAGGACCACACCGCTGTGTCCTTTCCCGTGCCTACAATCTCCTTAATTTACCAAGAAGCAGGCTGCGAAATGCGAGGCATCTGAGGGCGACCTCACAGCTTTCCTCTCATCCTGGTTCTGGAGCACTAGGACATCCAAGCAGTAGGTGGCGTGGCCAGCAGCTGCACCAGGCCTGCTCACACACGTGCCATGGTGAATACGACTCCGAGGAGATCCGTGTCCTTAATTCTTCCCTCATTTGTGCTGTTTAATTAACTGTCATTTTAAAAAATTCCTCCTTCCTCCCCCTCCCCTGTCTCCTACGGTAATCTCCTATAAAAACTGAAGTCTTGGATGCAAAATTTACAGAACTGTTGTACAGTCTAATGGAAATAACTATTAGCCTAAGTACTGGAGTTCTGACATTCACTTGGTTGTTATGTGACCTAGGAAGGGTACTTCTCAGAGCAGGACCCCGTGCCTCAGTTTCTCCATCAAGAGAACAGGGAGGTGGTATGCGTTCCTCCTCATTTCAGGGTTACAGAAGCAGTGATGAAACAGAGAAATAATCTGAGGTTTTTACACAACCAAAGGTGAATCAAGGTATTATTATCGGAAATAATTACCTTTTTATGACCAAATAGTTAAACAATGATAGCTTTGTCTAACATCTTATGCCTGATGATAAGCCACAGTAGCTTTTTCCTATGAATTTGGTGCTTCTAAAAAGGACCTTTTTAGAGCAATGTATCACTACGCTTGGAAAGTGCAAACATTCTGCAGTGAGAATAGCACACAGGACTGGAAATAACACCCTAAGCATCAGGGGGAAGTTGTGTTTCTTCCCTAACATTTGTCAGAAAAAGTCACCAGTGTGCATGGTGCAGCATCTGTGTGACTGATGTGACGAACTTTCAGCTTCCGTGCTGGGTCCCTCACGAGATTCCAGTGCTGTCTATCTGCTCGCCTTTGGGTTCTGAGTTTCCCATTGAACCTCTAGAAGCTTCATGTTAAAACAAAAAGACTACGGTTGTAGTTAGAGTTTTAAAATATGGCATACTTGTTTTTAGGTCCCCAAAGAACAGCAGAATTGTTCCAGTACCTCCCAAGTGAAGGTGAGATCTAGGAAGAAGCCAAGGGATATAACTAATACCCAGGATCGAGGGTGCAGTTTTCCTACGAAGACTCCAGAAGACCAGACAGTGCCCCTAAAGAAGACCATTTACGTTACCCTGAATGTAAATCACAGGAAAAACCAAAACATGCAAAATGTGCTCACTTATAGTGAGAGGGCCAGCCTGTACGAGGCACTGCACACTCTCGATGCTGTCAGAGAAGAGGTGAAGACACAGCAGGGCAAAGAAATGCTGGTGTGTGGCAAAGAAAGAATTGAAGGGTTCCTGAACCTTGGAATGCCGCTCAGCTGTTTTCCCGATGGGAGCTGTGTGGAAATTACTTTCTCCAAACGTGTAAGTGAGCAGAAGGAAGACAATCAAGTATGTGGCCGGCGTGACTGGACATCTACTGACTGCGTCAAATTTTATATTCACGCAGTGGGAAAGACAAGAAAGAGGATTGTTAAATGTGGGGAGCTTCACAAAAAAGGGAACAAACTCTGTGTCTTTGGTCTCAAAGGAGAAACCATCAAGGATGCTCTGTGCAAGGATGGCAGATTTCTTTCCTTTCTAGAGACTGACTGCTGGAAGCTCATCGGAAAACTGACCTCCCATGTCGAAAGCAGCCAGGAAGTCGATGCCATGGAGGGCAAGCTCTATCAGCTTGAGGCTGAGAAGAGGAGCAGCACTAGGGTGGCAGCCACGGCCACAGGCACACAGAACTGGGAGTTGGAGGAGCACAAAGCCTATGTGCTCCAAGAGTACATTGTGCGAGAGTATCCCAGTTTGAACAGAGAAAGGGAAAGGATCAGAGAAAACCTCAAGAAAGAAATGAAAATAAGAAAAGTGAACCAAAGCTCCTTGGTTAAATTACACAGAACAGACTTTGGCAAACAGACAAAAAATTCTACTCCAGTTAAAACACTCAAGCTCCTTTCCCAGCTCAGTGACTCGGTCGGATTCTTACGCTGGGACAACAATGGGAGCGTCGGCTGTGCTACCTGCTTTGTCTTCACGGGGCCGTTCGTGCTCACTTGTTTGCACGTGGTCCATCACATTGTGGGGAAAGGAGCAGAGCAGGAGAAGTGGGCAGACATAATCGGGAAATGTGTACGGGTGACATTCACTTATGAAGAGTTCGCAACCAAAGACGACAACTGCTTCTTGGTTGAACCTTGGTTTGAGATATCCGATGTAACTCTCGACTACGCTGTCCTGAAACTCAGGGAAAACGGACAACAGGTGCCTGCAGGACTCTATAACGGCATCGCCCCTACACCGTCTAGTGGACTGATATACATTATTGGCCACCCTGAAGGAGAAAGGAAGTCCACTGATGCCTGCGTTGTGATTCCTCAGAGTGAGCGAGAACAGGCATGTGCGAGAAACGTCAGGAAGGCAATGCCCGACAGTGACCCTGAGTTTGTCCACATGTACACTCAAAATAGTTTCCAGAAAATTCTTCACAACCCTGATGTTGTCACCTATGACACCACTTTTTATTGGGGTTCGTCTGGTTCGCCAGTGTTCGATTCGCATGGCTCACTGGTGGCCATGCACACGGCTGGCATCACTGTTGCTTACCTAGGGGCGACTTCTCATTTCATCGAGTTTGGCTCTGCTTTGCGGCCCATCCTCTCTGACATCATGGAAAAGCGTAAAGACTGGTATGAAAAAGAATGTGTAAATCAGCAGGATGTAGAAATGTTGAGTCAAGAGGATTGAGGACTGGTAAGTGCTTGCCTATGAGTTTGCTATTCCACAGCAGTGAGGATGGTCTTTGAAATTCCAAAGCGGTCAATTTCAGAAAGATTTAAATAGTTGATATTACAGACCAGCCATTTCCACTAACCCATGAAGAAACTAGTCCTGTTATAAAGTGAAGCTGAACTGCCCGTTGCTCGCTAAGGTCCTTGTCCTTCTAGACGGGCAAAGGACGATGGCTCATCAAACAACACCCGTCTTGTTGCCTCCTTCAGATCAGTCAGGGTGAGACTTCTGATCCCTGGCTAGGCTGGGTCAACGGCCCTCCTCAGCCTGAAGCCCTTGTAGGAAGACAGCCCCTCAGCCCCTCTGCACCCCTTAGGCATAAGGAATCATAGCCCTGGGGTTGGGGATCAGGCAGAGTACAACAAATAAAGAAGGTAGGAGGGAGACGAGGAAAGTTAAAACCTGTAAATTGTGCTAGGGCCGGGGATTTAGCTCAGCAGTTTGGTGGCCTGACTTGAAAGCACAAGGACCTGAGTTCAATCCCCGGTACAAAAAAAAAAAAAAGAAGAAGAGTGTGACTTCGAGACCCAGAGCGACCGAGGTTATCCCTATCCATACCCCTCCGAGCCTGTTTACGGGCCTTCTCTTCCAGAACCATCATAGCACAGATCCTTGGAAGATCATCTAAGTCTGTAAACTAACTTAACTGATAAAGTCAAGACCTTAAAAGAAATAGAGTCAAAGCTTTCAAAGAATGTTTTTAGGCAAAATATTTTAGATGACTCATGTTTCAAAAAATACAGTACACTGGGCCCTGTGCCTTTCTCCTGTAAAATGAGCCATTATATTCCTGCTCACGTGTGGTACATCACTTTTTTCCTGTAAACTGATTCCATAGATTCCCAAATCCACAGATTCGCAAGTTCCACTCCCAAAAATGTAAATATTCCCTGCTTTAGCTATGACGCACCTCCCTCCCTTCTGAGGGCTCACACTCTATTTCTCTGAGTGTATACTTTAAAATCCTGCCTTGTGATCCCTTTATGCTTCTTTAAAAACTTAGTCCTAACAACTCCAGGAAGTTCCGGCCCCCATTAGAGTCGAGCAGTATGCACCACGGTAAGATGAACGATCGGTTGCCTGACAATAACTGTCGTGTAACTTGATGTTTTTCGTCTTCAATTTCTTCCCCTAAATTCACTTGCCTAGGAGAAGCAGCTCACATTTGTTCATCTAGTTAGCCTAGATGTGTGAGACCACGTCTGGGTCAACCAGAAGCAAACCTGGGGCTGCCGTTCAGTTCCCTGAGGAGCTAAATGGCTACTTGGAAGTGATGGCAAACAAGTCCTTTAGAACTTCCACAACCTTCAGTTTACTGGAGCTGTCAGAATACGGGTCTTGAAAGTCAGAGGCCATGTCTGCTCTTCCTATGTTTACAGATGATGAGAACAAGCAGGATGTCTTTTTAAAAATCGGACCAATTTATTCAGATTTCCTCTGTTTCTCTCTAATTTCCTTTGCTCTGTCCCAAGACGCCACGCAGTGCTCACATTACACGTATGGGTCAGGACCCTCCGGTGCCTCTGGGCTGTGACAGCCTCTCAGCCGTCTGTTTTGATGACCTTAAGAGCCGGGAAGAGTGCTGCCGGGCATCCTGCAGGCGGATAATGAGGCCTGGCTGTGTGTTCTGAGGAGGGAGGTCACCGAGGACACCACTCGGCCCTGTCACACAGGGCTCGTGCTGTACTGTTCGTGACTCTCGGTGCTGAGATTGATCGCCGGCTCTGGTGTTTGTCACCAGAGACTCAGAGTCCCTCCCACCCCTCCCCACTCTCCCTGCATGCTCTGACCTCTGTACATGTGGCAGCCACACTTTTCTGTACCTGCTGAGATCCTCCCACCTCCTTCCCGGCCCCTCAGAGACTCAGCACACACTCTACCGCCAAGCTACACAGAGGCCCCAGTTCTAAGTAATAAAAGCTTCAGTTCCATCTGTTTCTCCTACTCTCTCTCCATGTTAAAGATTCTCCTACTCTCTCCTGTGCTTTCCATGTTAAAGATTCTCGTGTAAGCAGAGCAGGGAAATATGTGTGTGTATACTGACTCGTACATATGCACATATCTATAAATATTTGTAGAGGTAAACTTCTGTATGTACAATAAGTTCAGGAATCCTCACTGATGTCTCCAGCTCTAATCCACAGCCCGCAGGTACTTGGCTTCCTCCCCTTGCTTGTCTATAAATCTGCACCACAAATGTGGGGAACACGGCTGCTACATCCCTCAGTCATTCGTTTAACTGCTTGATACATACAAGGCAGTCACAAATTTGTTAACCTGTGCCAGGATGGGAAATAACTTCTCAGTCAACTGGACTACAAGTGCTTACATGTAGTTTCTTTCTGCCTTTAATCCTATACACTCCTTTCCTTCTCAGAGTTACTTAGGTGACACCTTTTCCCTCACCCCCTTTAGTGAGATTGTCTCATAGATTTTACAACACATCTACAATACATTAGATTTTCTTCTTATAGCCTAAATTCATTCATTCTTTCCTTTGATGCATTCTCCTCCTAAGTGGGAAATTTGTACACCTCAGACCCACTGTTTGTGCTGTAAAGGTCTATGGCTTTTAACAAGTGCGTGATATCGTTCACCTGTCATTACAGCATCATAGAGTAGTTCCTGCACCCAAAAGTGCCCTGTACTTCATCTACTTCTCTCTTCCCCTTTTCCCAAATCCCTGGCCAAGGCTGATCTTTTTATTATCTTTATACCTTTAGCTTTACCAGAATGTCATATAATTGTGGTCATATAATGTTACGGCTTACATCTAGATGTCCCCCAAAAGCGTCATGCAATCACAGTGGGGCTTTTGGAAGGAGGCTGGATCATGGGTGTGTGATACTGGGATTAAAGGTGTGTGGTACTGGGTCAGTCCACTGACTGGATCATCCTCATTCTGGGTGTGACTGAATGGATTCACTGAAGTGAGATGCCCCGCCCTGGATGTAGGTTCACCAAGCATAGACTTGAAACCCAGATGGAATAAAAGGAAAGGCAGGCTCACTGCAGCTACTTTCTGCCTACCCTGCTATGGCCTGTTTCCCCTCTGCCACACTACCCTGCCTTGGAGCCAGCTAACTATGGACTGAAACCTCTGCAAACTGTGAGCTACAATAAACTTTTCCTCCTTTAACTTTGGGCGGCAGGTATTTTGTCTCAGCAATGAGAAAAATACCTAAGACACATGGTATGTAGCTTTTGCAGGCTGACCGATATACAGTTCAAGCTTTTTGTATATCTTCTGTGCCTTGACAGCTCATTCATTTCCAATGTTGAATAATATCCCACAGCATGGTCTTACCACAATTTGTATTTTCAGTCATATTTTGAATGAGGTCTTCACTGCTTCCAATTTCTTGTGATTATAAATAAAATTGTTACAAGACCTTTTATTCTGATTTTTTGTGTGACTTAAGTTTTGAGTTCAATTGGGTAAATGCCAAGAAGTACAACTGGTTAATTGGGAAGACATTATTTACCTTTGTAAGGTAATATGTGCCTTTGTCATCTGCCAGACTGCATTCCAACGTGGCTGTACTGCTTTGCATTTTCACCAAAAGTGAATTTCCCTATTCTCACCAGGACTAAGTGTCAGGCTTGTTTTGTTTTGTCTTTGCTTTATGCATAATAATGCTGTTGGAATGCTGGGATATTTAGGGGAATTATGAGATTTATTGATGAAATTGGGGCTGTCTTAGAAGATCTAAGAAATGTGTAAAGTGTTGGCCTGAATTCATTCATTAAAAAAATAGAGCTACTATAAATAATTCAGGAATGAGATGTTTAGTTAAGAACTGGGGGTTCTATGAGAGTAGGGGAGGAAGAGCAGAAGAGAAGACTGCGCTGGGAGAGGAGAAATCTGCGACCCACATTCGGATTTCTGAGGAGACGCCCTGTCTTGTCACCACGGCGACACTAACGCCTTTGCAGGGATTTGGGGAATTCGTTCCATCGGACCTCTGATGAGTAGGAGCTCCTGCAGTGTCTCAAAGTCCTGCCTGCCTGCCCTGATCTCACAGGAAATAGTGGTGACTGCTTGATTGGCAGCTTCCAAGGTTCGTAAGCATTTTCATGCTGACCCAGGCATCGCAGGGACTCAGCAAAGAGCAGTGCTCCCCACTGTGGAAGCCTGTGGTGAGCCAGTGACCAGCCACTCAACACCAGAGAGGGAGGCTACGTCATGTACAAAGCATACACATGGTACAGTCGTAGGTATCCCAGCTGGGCAGCGCTGCTGCGCTTACCGTGACAAGGCCCTTGCAGCCCTAACGGATTACCGACGCCGTCACCGGTGCACTTACAATACCCTGCCGATGAGTTATGATCCACACAGATCCGACCGTCAGGTATTTGTTCAACGGAGATATCCTCCCGGCTTTAACACCTGATGCAGGGGCTGGGGATGGAGCTCAGTGGTGCCACTCCTGCCCTGTAAGCCCAAGGTCCTGAGTTCCATCTCCCTTCCCTCAAAAAAACTCTGTAATACCCAATGCTATCATGGAAAAGTATTGAGTACAAACTAGATAAATAGAATCGGGTCACATTTGGACACAGGTATGGAAACTTCTTTCCTCCTCCCCCTTGATCTCTGACGGAGGCCCCTGCATTTCTTTCATTGTTTATTTTCCATGCAGCAATTTCAAGTGAGATACAAAGCCTTTAAAGTTGGCCTCTTCTACCTCTCTCACTTCTATTATCATTACTTTCCATTTCATTTCACCTCACACTTATTGCTTTGCTTCTTTCACCACGAAATACAAACTTTACCTCTTTGTCACACCCCCTCAACGGCAGCCAGGAAAACGTTTGGCATTTTTAGATTTCAAACACTCCTTGTATTCCCACTGTACTTTGTGCAGCTTACGTAAGGTTCTTATCTGTAATTTTAAAAAAGAACCAACATAGCTCGCTTAGGGGCTAAGCACTCTTACGTCCTTTCCGTGTGTTAACCCTAGGTCTCCTGAGCAGCCCTCTGAGGGAGGCAATTTTATAATCTGGGCTCAGTGAGGAGGGAACTGAGTCCCAGAGACATGAAGAGCTTGGCCGAGCTCGCCCAGTGCAGAGAACTGGAGTGTGGGTCCGGAGCTGTGCCGCTCACTGCCTCACGGCCTCTCGACAGGTGAGGAGCTCACACCGGAAGTTCTCAATTCTTGATGGTGCTTCGATGAGTTATCTTCACTTGCATTGCCCTGGGAACCTCGCTTCAAGGTCTGAAGTCATCAGGTCTAAGGATTTCCAGTGTTCTGCGCAGAAACAATGAAGATGAGAAACGGGACAGAAAATTCTAAAGGTGGGGCGTGGAACAGTCCCTCTGTGAAAACCTCATCTCCAACCACTTCTTGCCCTTAAGTCAAGCTCTTCTTTGTACTTCCTAATTTAATTCACTTGCCATGAAGTGCATTCTCTGTTGGCATAGTTCCTGTGGGTTTTAACACACAAGGGCCTGTAGGTTCTTGTTTTCAGGATACAGAACAGCATAGACATCTAGAGAACCCTTCCCTTCCCCTAGTCCCTGCCCACCCCGTCCTCTTTTCCATCAGGTTGTTGTGGGGTTTTCCTTACCTTTTCATGGCATCTTGCTCTTTCATTTTACCTTCCAAGCCCTCCTTTCTCCTCATACTATCCAAATGTCTCAGTTCCCCGAGGATGTGGTCTTCAGGCTCCTTCGCCTGGCACTGTACTCAGCTTCAGCTTCTACTCCTCTCCCAGTCACCGCACGACTGTGGCATCTCACCCCATGCTCCCTCATGAGCACACATCTGCAAGTCCAGCTGCCAGACACAGCCCTCTTACACCAGCATGTTAAACTCTGAGCTACATCTCCTGACTCCAACCCCTTCTTCGCGGTTCAGATCCGCTGTCCGGACCCCGACTTCTCCCGGACTAGGGTTCCCGGAACGCTGCTCGCCACCCCTGTCTGAGTGCTCGTGTCAGTACGTCTGTGGGCTCTGGCTCTCCTACGTGGGACCTTCCTTTCCAGTCTTTCATTTCTTTCCATTCTCTTTTCCATCCTCCATCAGTGACATTATCATGGTAGCTAACATCTGTGTAGGGTTTGATCTGTAGGGCCTGGCTAAAAATGGGAATAAGATGTCATATTTGACCCCTGCCTTCCTCCTCAGGTGGGCACCGCAATCATCTCAGTGTTACAGTGACAACACCAGACTTCCTAGGTGTGCAGGGTTCCCAGGCCAGGCAGTGACGGTTGGGCCATGAGTGTCTGGCTTCCATGCCTGGGATGGAGCCACAGGACGCAGCTGAGTGTCACCTAGGTCCTGCACTGCCCAGGGCCCTAAGCCAATTCGGTCCTCCAGCTTCCCTGGGGACAACGTGTGAGAAGATACAAAGATGTGAAAAGCCCCAGGTGAGGCAAGCAGGGCAGTGTGCCAATGTACAAGACAGAGAAGCCCCTCGGTCTTCCAGGGCGCCGGCGCCTGCTGCGATGGCGGTGCTCTCTCTGCCTGGATGCGCCAGGCCCTGTCCTTGCTGGAGCCGAAGGGACAGCGGTGGTCTGACTCGTCTGTCAGTCTCTCGTGAGCCCTGTTCCTTTCCTGTGCTAACCCGCTGGCCTCCTGGCTCAGGATGAGAATAGTCACAGGGATCAGTGAGCATGGAAGAACAGGTCTCTTCCAGGTCATGTGGGCATCGGAGAGGCCCTGGACGGGAAGTGTCATGAAGAGCAAGCAGGAATGGGGCCGTTTGTACTTAGGGGGGCTTAGGGCAGAGTCGGCAGGGTGGACAGGCCTGGAGTCAGTCTCACACCCCAGGGTGCTGGGGAGTCTGGCTTCCTTGAGGAAGTAGCCACGTGGCCAAAATAATGCACAGGGGGAGAAGGTGTCCCTGGTGCCAGCCAGCGGCCACACGCGAGATGACGGGGCAGCTAAGGGAGGGGCGGGACAGCGTGGGGAGTGGGTGTGGGAGCAGCACCTTCACTCTAGGAGTCCTGGTCCGCTCCTCACCCCTGGAGAGGAGACTGAGCCCACCCGGCCTTTCCACAGTTCCCCCGTCCTCTTCCAGGGCTGCCATCTGCCTGGGCCATTCTCCTCCTCTTGGGGTCATTATCTGGGTGCATATTTCTGGACCAAAATGAATTAAATACAATGTGATTGTCAGAGTATGTTAGAAATATGAAACAGAACACAATAACGTTTTCCAGCCTGAAATCCCTCATTTAGATTCTGTCTATGCAATTTGTCAACTCTGTATTCATGCATTATTGTTACTTGGTAAGTGGTTTCCTGTCGCGCGCACCTCGCCAGCAAGGAGCACGCAACACTCAGGATTCTTCTGATGCACGCTTTATTGGAGTTTCTTCTACAATCTTCAATGGCGGAAAGACCCCGAGCCGGATGCAAGCCTGCCTTTATATCCACCCGGGCGTCGTAGCCTGTTTCTATTGGTCAATGCCAGCCTGCATCATTCTGACGAGCCAAGCGCCTCATCTGCGCATGCGCAAACCACTGTCACCGGCGGACTCAAACCCGGAATTCATGTAGGGCATGAAGAACCCGGAAATAATGGCGCGTGACAGTTTCCTTTACTTGCAATTTATGTATACAGAGGTGAAATTTTTCACTTTCCTTTTGCACACGTGCTCAACAGAGGTGGAAGAAAGCTGCCTTCCATTTTCTTTAATCGCTCATACTAAAAACAACTCTTCTCTGTATACTCACTATGACAGATAGAAGCTTCTGAGTTTTTTGTGATGTCTCTGTTGGTGATTTTTGCTGTTTCAGGGGCCCCATTCACAACATGAAAATTATTCCTAGTGTTCCTAATGAAAAGGCTAGGATATGCTTCACAGAAAAATACATATGTTGAATAAGCTTTGTTCAGACACGAGTCATTGCACAGTTGGCTGTGAGTACAATGTTAATGAGTCAACTACATACATTGTTTTTTAAGAGAAGCATACATAAAATACATTGTGTGGCTGATAATCATGTTGTAACCAGAGTCTAACAGAAATTTAGCCCTGTGTTACCCTTAAGAACTGTGACTCGATATTCTCCTCTAATTCAGAGTTTTCAGAAACCATGTAGATCCTGACAAATAGGACTGGATGATGAATGGAACTGAATTGCAAATTCAAATATAGACGTGATCATCACAGGTATTGAAATCCATGTTACTTTACCACTTATTAAACGATTTCTAAAGCATTAGCTCAAGTCCTGCTCGGCAGGCAGAGAAGACACTGTTATCCCTGTTTTCTGTGCAAGGAAGGATAACTGAGTTGCTGCCCAAATTTCTGATACTTGGGGAAAGATTGGGTCTCGAGTCATGAAATACAGTTGATTAACTGAGCTACCTCACCAAGCCAAGACATCGCTGTGTCCACAACTGCATTTAAAGTACATCCCTCCCTGGACCACTTGGGAAATATTACAAGCATTTCAGAATACTACAGCGGCAAGAAATATGTTTTCCCAATTTTCTTTTGTCCTACCTCTGAAGACTGTGAGGTCGATCACATCCACTCCTCTCCACCCCTCTCCAATTCCCACTCCCTCGTGCTCCTCTGATGGTAGCTCTCTCTGAAATGGAATCATGGGCTGAAAGTGACTGTCTTGCACTGCACTGTGCCCCCAAAGATTTGTCCCAGTCCTGACCGTGGACACATGATGGACCCTGCCTGGGTAAAGGCAGATGTGATTAAACTAAGTGTCTGTGAGTGAGATCATCTTGGATTAACCAGGTGGCTCCAAATCCAATAACAGGTGGCTTCCAAGGAGAAGACCCTCGGAAGGCAGAGATCAAAGTGATAAATCTACAGGTGCTCCTTGGTCTACAGTGGGCTTACATCTCTATTGTAAAAGGGAAACACGGCGAGCCAGAATGCACTTCACATACATAACCTGCCGAACGTCATGGTTTAGCTTGGCTTGCTCCAGCGTCTCAGAACATTTACATTAGTCCAGAGCTGGGCAAAATCATATGCCCGGAAGTGCGTTTCATGATTAGGTGTTGAGTATCTCGAATGATTTATTGAGCACGTGCACTGTAGAGTGCAATCTTTGTTCTGTGCACTGATGATTATGTGGTTAACCAGGAGAAATTAAAGGTACCACATATTGCTAACCTGGGGGGAAAAATCAAAATCCAGAACTTGAAGTACAGCTTCTGCTAGACACACATGTTCCCCACCATCATGAAGTTAGAAAGAATCAGAAGTCACACCACCTTCAGCAGGGACACGTGTACAGGCTAAGGACTAGCAGCAGTTCTCAGAAACAAGAGCAAGGTATGGAACAGCTGTAGCCCCAAAACCTCCAGCAGGAACTGATCCTGTCAACACCTTGATTATACGTTTCTGGACCCCCGAACTCCTCTGTAAGAGACAAGGGGCCTGTTGTCAAAGCCACCAAATTTGTGATAATTTGTTCCAAGCTTGGTGGCCTAAAATGACACAAACATCCTCTCATAGTCCCGACAGGACAGAAAGGTGTGATGTGAGGGTGGGGTTAGCAGGGCTGCGCTCCCTGCCCACACTTTCTAGGCTGCTCCTGGTCTCTGGTATCTGCCTGCATCCCATGGCTGGAAGCCACAGCCTGCCAGGCTCTGGCCCATGGTCAGCCTGCCCACCTGCTCTTCTTCCTGCATGAAACCCCTCCTGCCTCTCTCATGAGGCCATGCAGAGCCCATCAGATGACCCAGCACAGCCCTCTCTCCTCAGTTCCCTTGACTTAGTCAAAGCTGCCGAGTCATCATAGGTTCTGGGATGGGGACATGGACCACTATTTGGAGACCACTGTTTGCTTGCTGCACCTACCATGGTGATGGTGCCTGGGAAAAGCACCTTCAAGATTCAGGGACCAGGTGCTCTGTTTTTATTTAGTTTCTATTGCTTAAACTGCCTTTAACTCGTTGTTTTCTGTTAATGCTTATAAATGGGAGTCATAAAGCAAAATTCAAATAGGAAATCAAGTAGTTTGATGAAAAAGCTAAATAAGCAAAGCATTTGGGTTTTTATTCTCACTTCATGCATAAGTGACTTCCGGGTAAAATAGTTTTCTATGCGTTTCCTTCTCAAGCACTGTTGTCTTTCGCTTTTCACTGTATTCTTGGAATGAAAAACAAACTAGGTGTTAAATCTGACTCCAGCAAGAGCATTGCTGTGCTGAGTGTTTTTCCCACCTGCTCACTCCGGGTTCGAATGCTCAGGGCCACACCCCAGTGTGACAGTGTTAAGAGGGGGACTTTGGGTGACACCAGTTCATCAGGGTGGTAAGGCCCTCGTGTATGGCATTGGTGCCCATGTACAAGAAGCCCTGGGAGCTGCTCAAGTGGTACCTCTGCCCCACGAGGACACAGCTAAGAGGAGGGAGTAGGTCCTCACCAGACACCTTCATCTTGGACTTCTTGGCCTCTAGAAATGTGAGGGTTTTTTTTTTTTTCAGACATTGAGCCCAGGAGCATTCATCCACTGAAATGCATCCTCAGTACTCTTTAGAAAACTTCTATTTTAGGGGCTGACGTTGTAACTCAGTGGCGCCACACCTGCCTGGCAAATGCAAGGTCCTGAGGTGTGGGGAGGAGGAATATTTAGTTTGAGACAGGATCTCACTAACTTTCCTGGACTGACCTGGAGCTTGGGATCCACTTGTGTCCTGAGCAGCTGGGATTCCAGGCCTGCACCTCCGAGCCTAGCTTGAGGAATCGACTTCTGCTGTATCTAAGCTACCAGACCATTGCATCGTGTTATAGCAAGCCAAGCAGGCCAGGGTGACAAATGTCCCACACCCCGCAGGCTGGCTAACTCATGCTACACAGTGCTTTTATACTAGAAGAAGGGTAATATCCGCATGAGACAGGTTCCAGCGTATCAGAAGATTCCCTTGGCTCACAGCAAATTCTATCACCAAGTGAGGGGGGCAGAGGGAGGCGGGAGCGGCAGTGAAAGGCCCCTGCGGTCCAGCCTGCTGAGGAGTCTAAGTGTGCCAAAGAGCGCCTAGGCTTCCTCGATCTTTTTCGTGTTTCTCTCTTCCCTCAGGCAGGAGCAGAGAGGGGCATTCTCAGGACAATGGGGAAAGCGAGCTGACTGGTTACTGACTGTGATCGCGGTGTCCTCGAGTAAGATCTTGCTCTCTGACACCCAGCCCTGGGTGCTTCACAGCACTGGAAACGAACCCGCCCTCCGAACCGGACATTAGTGAGTGTAGCCCGAACCCTCCCCTCTCCCCCTCGGGACCTCAGCTACTACTGGAAAAGATGAGTAGAGCGAGGACTCCCGGAGGGGCCTAGGAGCTGGCACAGCTGTGCCCCTGCGCGGGGACCTCAGGGAGGGAAGGGCTCGGACCTGGGGCTCCGCCGGATTCGGGCAGACAGTGGGCAGAGTCCCTGAAGGGGGGACAGGGGCACCGGGGGAGGGAGCGCAGGGCAGAGAGGGGCCTCTTCCTGGGCCGGCGAGGAGGCTGGCGGCCAGGTTTCCTGTCTCTGCCTTCCTCTCGCCCTGGCTACGTTTCCGACCTCCCTGAACCCTCGGGGCTTCCGAGCAGGCGTGACTGTGATAGCTTCCATTTTCGTTGTCTCCAACAGAGAGAAAAGCAGCAAAGTTCAGTGCTTAGGGTTCAGGCAAGATTTTCTGTGGGGAAGGAAAGCAAAGGCAGCTCACGGGGGCGGGGGGCCCTTGGTGGATCCCGGGTGCCCTTTGGGGCGATGCGTCGTGTGAAGGGCTCCTCCCGCTGAGCCTGCTTCGTGGCCCTCAAACCCACTTCCCGACTCCTCCGGGCCTACTGGAGAATCGGAGGAGAGGGCGAAAGCTCCGCTGTGGGCAGACGCTGAAAGGCTAACAGCGCCCGCAGCCATTTCCAGCTCGACGTCGCCATCTGCCGGACCCAGCAGCAAGTACAACCCTGCCAACCAGGGCCCCGAACCTCTGGGTCAACTGATGGCGGACAGAGCAGCCGCTCAGGTCAGGCACCCTTTGGGGGTGGTTTAATGGAAGCCCATTGACAAAGGACGTGTCCAAAAGGCCTTGGCGGTTAAATGCAGATGGAATATTTGAGAGCTCAGCCACTGCGGTCTTGGCGTCATTGGTTTTACAAGAAAAAGTGGCAGCTGCCTTTCTGGAGGAAATGATCACTAATTGCTTCGTGATCAGTTGAATTTCACCAAAGAGACCAGGGGCCTGGCGCCCCTGTATTGCAGATGGCAGGAGACAAATCCACTGGAGGGTCAGAGCCCCCTAAATCAGGGCAATGGAATATCCCTTCCAAAGGTAAATCGTTGACTCTCACGTACTCTGCTCAGAAGAAGGCAGCGCACTGCACAGAGGGGCTCTTCCGGCTCTGAAGACAGAGTGATCCCTGACCAGGAACCCTTTCTCGCCTGTGTGCAGTGAACGCGTTGGGTTGATGGCCTTGAACCTGCTTGGATGTAAAGTCCTGGCAAATGAGCCAAGCTATGGTAAAAACAGCACAGCTACTAAGACCACGAGACTTGGCTACTCCTGTGGTGCTAGAAGTGTGAGATGGGGGAAAGACACCACCGGAAGGAGCCAGGCATGATGGCACGTGTGTGTAATCCCAGTGCTCCGGGAGGCTGAGGCAGGAGGATTCGAGCCCAGGCTGAGCAACATAGCAGTTTAGCAAGACCCCCACCATAAAATTGTAAACATGTAATTAAAAGACAGGGATGCAGCTTGGTGCAAAGGCTCTGGCTTCAGTAGTCAGCCCACTGAGCCGAGATTCCGCAGCAGAGGAGGATCACACGCCTTTCACAGCAGCTCCTTGTACGCTGTTTGCCCTGGCACAGGACATCCAGCGGAGACACCGAAGGACCGCGTGTGGATTGCACTTTGGAGGGAGTCAGCGGGCAAAGCAGGCCTCGTGGGAGGTAGAAGGGCAACACTCAGCGCGGAGCAGGAGCAGAATGGGAGCGCCCAAGCCAGACGCGTGAGGAGCGGTGAGCAGGCCCGGAGACAACTGCGCCTGAATCCGTGGGTTACACGGAGAAGAGGGACTAAGGCTGCAAATGATTCAGTGTGGCAAGCGACCGGCTGCTCTAAGGTGGCGCGGTCATCTTGAGTATCCGGGTGGGTAAGTACAGGCAGACAGCCCTTTCCACCAGGGGTTCAGAGGGAGATGCCAAGAGGGAGAGAGGCACGGAGTTGCAGGATTGCTGCTGGAACACGCAGGGAACACGCTTCCCTCCAGGTCTGGAAGGGAACTTGAGTCCTCGAGTGTCCTGACTGGACCCACTGAGGCTTGGGCCAGGCTTCCGGGCTTCCTTGGACCTGGGAAACAGAGCAGAGGCCCTGCGGGCCCTGCTTCCCTTCACTCCAGCAACTCAGTAGGGAGCTGGTGCCTCCCATCTCTTCTTCCTGTTTCCCCGAGCCGGGCTGTGCAGGGTAAGAAGACCTGATCCCTACGGGGGGCTGCTTCTGCCAAGGGACAGAGGAGGAGACCACTGAACTCCAAGCTGGACTCTGCCTGTCACTCCGAGGACGGCGTGCAGGTGCCAGCAGGCGAGAGGAGGGGTGACAGCTGGGCTGGGGGGAACCGAGCCAGCTCAGCAGAGGAGGGGGCTGCTGGGACCACGAGGGGAGGAATGCATGTCCCAGCCAGTGGAGCACGGGCCCCTCTTGCACGCCCTTGCCCAATTTTTATAGCAAATTGGCAATTGCATTGATTCCACTCTGAGGAGAGCATAGCAGACAGGGGCTCAGACCCTCCAGAAGTGAAGCCTTGAGCCTCCCACCAGGAAAGACCTAATTTCAGGATAAACACTAAATGAGGATGGGGGGATGCGATGAACGTCAGAGAGGAGAAGGGTAAGAACTCTAGCTACTGTAATACAAACAGCACGGCACTGACAAAGAAACAGACCCAAGGATCGGTGGAATAGATTAGAAGATGCAGAAACAGCTCCTGACACACTCAGCTACCTCATCTTTGACAAAGAAGCCAACCGTCCTCAGTGGAGGAAACATAGCCTCTTCAATAAACTATGTTGGAAAAACAATTTCAACCTGCCAAAGATTAAAACTAGTCCCCTATCTTTCACCATACAATAAACAACAATCCAAGTAGATTAAAGATATAAATATTAAAACAGAAACACTAACCTTGCTGGAAGATAAATTATGCAGAACTCTCAAAGACATTGGCATAGGAAAAGACTTTATGAACAAATCCTCAGTAGCACGGGAACTAGCACAGAGAATCAACAACTGGGTCCTCATGTTATTCAAAAGCTTCTGTGTTGCAAGAGAAATCATCAAGAGAGCTAAGACACAACATACAATGTGGGGAAATAATTTTTCCCAGCTGTTCCTCAGACAAAGGTCTACTATCTAGAATACATGAAGAACTCAAAAAAATCAGACCCCCAAATATAAAGACCCAATTCCAAGATGGGCATCTGAAATGAACAGATAGTTCTCAGACAAACAAGTAAAAGCAGCAAATAAATATATGAAAAAATTTTCAATATCACTAGTCATTCAAGAGATGCAGATGTTGTGGGAGAAGTTCAAGCCTGGCTGGGCCAGGTGCGCTGCACTCCTGTCTCCTGAGCTAACTCAGAGACCTTGCTAAGGCTGAGCTAACTCGCATAAGTGCATAGATGCTGGGTCCAACAGGCTACACCTCTGCACCTAGTCCATGACTCCTTTGCCTAATCCAGGAAAAAATCACTCCACCGTGCCTCCAATAAGATATCACCAAATGTTAAATGCTCCTCCCATGCTTTTCCCCCATAGTTGTCCCTGTTTAAGCCTGCGCATTTCCTGAATAAGGTGGAAGCCCTCCAGAAACCTCCCAGAGTCTGCTTGGTCATTCCGCGCCTTGCCCCTCCCCATCCAAGTTCCTGGGCCTTGTTCTGCAAGCGGGCTCGTGGATGATAAGAGAAACCAACTCTGAGATTCTATCTCACCCCAGAAAGAATGGCTGCTATCATGAAATCAACCCATAACAAATGTTGGCGGGGTTGTGGGGAGAAAGGAACCCTTCTCCATTGATGGGAGTGCAGACTGGTGCAGCCACTGTGGAAATCATTATGGAGATACCTCAAAGAGCTGAGACTAGAGGTTCCATTTGACCCAGCTATTCCCCTGCTGGGTATCTTCCCAAAAGAATTAAAAGAATCATATCACAGTGATATATGCGCACACCCACGTTCTTAGTGGCACAGTTCGTAATAGCTAAAAATTGGAAACAGCCCAATTGCCCACCAACTGGAGACTGGATAAAGAAAATGTGTTTCTTCTATAAAATGGAGTACTTCTCAGCCATAAAGAATGAGAAACTAACCAAGATATGTCATGTAAAGGTACAAGATCCCAATGGTAAATGTAACTGTATTGTTTGCCTTAAATGTACCAATAAACTTAATGGGAAAAATTTTTTTAAAAGAATGAGAAACTATAGACATTTATAGCTAAACGGATGCACATTTATAGCTAAATGGATGCTATATTCTTAAGTGAAATAAATAGGACACACACATGTGTAAATACTGAATAGTTTCTCTGGTGTGAAAAACTAAAAGTGTAAATAAGATTCAAATAGTATAATTGATAGTGTGAAATAGGAAGAAAAGGTCTAAAGGAGTAGGGGAAGTGGGAAGGGTGGTGAAGGAAGGAAGGGAAAGGAAAAAATATGAGAAATGGAAAAACATGGAAACAAAGTCTTTGTAAATAGGGAAGGGTGCAGGGGGTGAAGGGAGGGCAGGGGAGTGGGGAAAAGTAAGAACCAAGGTACATTATATAAAGATGCAAGACCCCAGTGATGAACATAACTGTACTGTATACCTAAAAAGTATCAATAAACTTAATGGGGTAGGGAGAGAATTGTGCCATGGGTCTTTGCACTCTGTCTCCTCCTCTGAGTTTTCCCTGGGAATCCAAGCAGCACACGAGAGAGGGCTGAGATCCAGGCCAGGTTCTGCTTCAATGAAAGATACTTTACCCCTCTGGAGATGCGGTCAGGGCTGGCCCTTCCAGAGACTGCCTTGGTGACCCACATCACACCCATCCCATGATGGAGCAACCGACCACTCTCACTGGATAACTCGTGAAAGACTCACAGAACTCAGAAAATCATTGTATTTGTGGCTGTAGCTTACATAACAAGGTTACAGATTACTATCAGCCATAAAGAAGGGTAAGGGTGAGACATCTCTAATGGGACGCACCTTGAGACCATACCCTTAAGTGAAATAAATCGGACACACGTGTAAATATCACATTGTCTCTCTGGTGTGAGAAACCGAAAGTGTAAATAAGGACTGAAATATAGGATAGATCTTGGGAAATGGGAAGAAAATGTCCAAATGAGACAGGGAACAAGGGAGAGTGGAGAGAGGAAGGAAAGAAGAGATAAGAAAAACAAAAAAGGATAGAAGAAAAATGAAACAAAGCTTTTGTAAGTAAAGAGGGGAAGAGGGGTTCAAGGAAGCGGAGAGTAACAGGAAGAAAAGAAGGACCAAGATATATCAGGTACCAGTACAAGTGTTACAGCTATGTATATCTAAAATGTACTAATAAAATAAAAAGAGAAAACAATTTTGAAAGATTAAATAAGCAAACAGGTGGGAATTATTTCAGATGCGCAAAGTCAGCTTAACACTCAAAGACTCTATTGATGTAATCTGTCACAGCAGCAGGCTAACGAGGAAAGATTGTGTGATCAATTGTGTGTGATTATGTGATCAGCAGACTCAGAAAGAAGCACTTGACAAAATTTAACATTGTTTATAAAAACTCTCGGGAAACTAGGCATAGAGGAGAATTTTCGTGCACTGACAAGGAACAGTCACAAAAAACCTCCAGCTAATGGGATCGTGGTTAAAGCCAGTTACATTCCCGCTAAGATCAGATACAAGGCAAGATGCTTGTTCTCACCACTCTGTTCAACATCGCAATAAAATCCTAGCTCGTGTAAAGCAGCAGAAAGAAAAATGAATAAGACGCAGGAATTGAGAAAGAAGAAATACTTTATTTGCTGCTGACATGATTGTCCATGATCTGCATAAAAGATTTCAAAGAATCCACAACAATGGCAAATCCTCCTGGAATGAATACCTGACTGTCTAGATCACTTCTGCCACTATAACAAAATGCAGTACTTTAGACTGGGTTATTTCTGAACGGCAAGAATATTATTGCTCCAAGTTCTGGCGTCTGGGAAGCCCAGACTGAGACATTGATTTCACAGTTTTGTTCTGATCCACACAACATGAATGAATCTTTAGAGCATTTGCTCAGCAGAAAAACCTAATTCCAAAAGACTAAGTGTTTGATTTCATTTACAGGACAAAATCATAGATATGGAGAAGGGATTAGCAGTTGCGAAGGTCAAGGACAGAATGAGAGAGAGGAGGGAGTGAATTGAATGTGGCTTTAAAAATACAACACAAGGACCAGGGTGTGGTGGCGCAAGCCTGTAATCCCAGCACTAGGGAGGCTGAGGCAGGAGGATCCCTGCAAGTTCGAGACCAGCCTGGGCTACATAGTGAGCTCCAGGTCAGTCTCAATTACATAATGAGACCCTGACTCAAAAAACAAACAACAACAACAAAAAAACAACACAAGGTATCCTGTGGTGGTGGGAGTGTGTGTTGTACAGAACACGCATATTGTATTGATAAAGAAGAAAAATTGTAACTATTCTGTATCTTGTGCCAGTGTGAGTAGTGATACAGTTGCTATAGCTTCGTAAGTGTGGTTTTAAGAGATGTCACCATTAGGTTGCATGGGAAAAGCGGGTGCACAAGTCTCTCTGCCTTATTTCTCACAACTGCATGTAAATGTACAATTACTTCCTAATAAAATAGATAATATACAAACGGCAGCGAGCTCCCGCCTGGCTCTTTCTCTGAGGTCACACTTACTTGGAAACCAAGCTCAGGGCTGCAGGAAGGACAGCCAGTAATGTGAAGGCCACTCCGGCTCCCCGAGTCCACAGCCAAGTCCGCCCCAGCCCCACACTGTCTCCTGAGCCCAGTCCGGCTGTCCACTGAAGCCATTCCCAAACCGCAGATTCCGGTGCGGAATAAACATCTGTGGCTGTCTTTAGCCACTCACTTCAAAGCGGCTTATTTCATAGTAATCTGGGAAACGAAAGTGACTTTTGTTCACAGACATTTTTTGCTGAAATTTGGTGTTAAGTAAGGGTGACTTTTGCTGAAGTGTCTTCAGACCGTGCCTCTGAACAGTGCAAGACCGCTTCGTTCCAGTTATTCTCCGTTAGTGTTAGGCTTAGCATGGCCAAATTACAAATCGAGCGTGTCATTTGGGTGAAGATTCTCTGTCTCGTAGGGTGTAAGAGGCGATTTGACAGACGGTCTGCACATTAGCATGGAAGGTCAGATTTTTAGGTGTTTATGACACAGATGATTTGAAATTAGGATTGTCTTGGAAGATCTAAGAAATGTATGTAAATGTGTTATTATTGATTTATAATTATGTTATTATTGCTAAGCGGGTCATTATGAACTATAAACTAGATGGCTTCTGAAAGTCCACGTGAGCGGCACCTTGAGCCGCCCATACCCTAAGTACAAGTCGATTTCTTTCTGATTGACATTCATCTTTTTCACCCTTCCGCGTCTTCAAAGCACAAAAAAGATCGCACGCTATCATGAAAAAAATAATTGTTTCACAGAGTCAAAGTCCCACTGCCTAGCACACAACTGAAGTTCTTCCTGCATGCTCTCGTGTTGACAGTGCGTTCAGGATCCACGTGCAGTTGCAGCTTCTGGGAAACAAAATCCGGGTCCGGACAAGATCAAGGCGACGCGCTGATTTGAGCATCCCCTTTGTCAGACACCTCCGTGGGCTGTGATCACAGGGTAAGCCCGGCTCGTGTGCGCAGTGGCCGTGGAAATGCTGCAGGATCCTCTCTGGTGCTGCGGACGGCCGGGGAGACCGCCGGGCTCCTGCGCTCCCTTGGCTCGCGCCTCGTTCCTCG